CTGTCCACAAATACTTACTGATTGAGCTATAATCTTTTGAACTAAAATCTAGATGATGAATGTGTTATAGTACAGACAAACCTGCTCAAATTGCTGTCATTTGGGTTTTCACACAACTGTCCCTGTTGATACAGTTACAAAACTCAGGATTATGTATTTTTATCATACTACAAACTAGTACCAGGTCGTTTTGCAAGGCCTGACAAATGGTAGAAAGAACAAGAAAAAAAATGATGAAATAACATGGACTGATAAACTGACAACACTCTAAAAGAAATGCAGTAACAGATGATGGAACAGAAATAAAACACCAGCAGTTTGTACCACCGGAAGAATGAAAAACAAAACTTAGCAAAAAAACATGTTCATCATCCCTTAACATCAGTTAAGAGTTGCATCATGTGTGATTGAAGATGCCCTCTAACTTCCATGTTTGTTATGCTAAAAAAAAAAAGACATGGTAGGAATAGACTGATGAGAGGACTACAACACTCTACACACCTAACTCAGTGCCAGAATCAAACTAGAAAATATTTAATTACTAGAAATAAAAGAAAGCTGCAATGAAAGGTAGCCATGTATCTTCAGCTACTATGTTCTTGTTTAACATCTCTAAATTGTGCAAATATAATACTAATATTGTTACTTTGATTATGCAACACCTAAAATTTGGCAGCAAATTATCTTCTTGTCCAAGTAAACTAAAAGATTAATATTGGCTTAACACGCAGATTATCTCACATGCAATCTCTTATATGCAAATGATTCAAACCAAGTACAGGATGTGCTTTTTAGCATCCCTTTTCTCATCTTTGTTATGAAAAACATTTTTTGGATAATGCTGTTACCTGCAAACATGTTTGAGAGCAGATTAGTTACAGATGATGTGCTATTATTTTTGGCAAAAAAACAAACAAACAAACTTCGAGCTTTATATCACAGCAGAGGAAGCACAGAACGGGAGACAGAAGACTGAACTTTAAGGCTTACCTTGATAATGCTGCTCCTGCGTGGTATCTCATTTTTGGCATCTAATCCCACGGAGGTGTTGGCTGCTGTTTCTCCGCTGGCTTGGTTGCCGGGTGTGACTATGGATCCCGAACCGACCATATTATTCCCAGCATGTATCCCACAGTCTCCATTCAATACAGACACTTCGCAATGCGTCTTGCCGTCTGCTTCATCTCCTGGCAGTGCCGTTTTATCCCCGACATTCAATGGAGGATGACTGTTGTCCTCCCCGAACTCCGCCATATAGGCACTTCAGTCATACACACGGACATACACGTATATACACGCATACACAGACAGACACAAATACAATCAAGCGAGTGGCTAGTTGGTAATGGCTCGTCTGTTGAGCTTCACACCGATATCCTGACTGGCCTATTGCCTTGTAGCGTTTGCCGGATATCTGCCTTATCACCATCATCATCTGTGAATGCACGTAAACGTCAGGCTGATGCTACACAGGCGTTGGATTCCCTCATTGTGCAGCATCGTAAATCTGTGAGGAAAAAAGAGCAACATAGACAATGGTGATTAGCATCGTTAAGAAGAATTGCATGAAGCATTGACAGCACATGCAAGTGTCTGTAACTGCGTGCTGATGCTACGTCGCGTGAAATATCACGTTTGACTCCGATTTTAAAAACAGTTTTAGCCACGATTTCACAGAGGTAATCGTTGTTACGAATTTCTGCACTAGTAATTACCAAACACGTTACCATTCTTGTCGAGTTTATGCTTAATCAATAAAAACATTTTTTTTAAAACTGAGCGCATACCTGGTTGCGGCTTAATGTGTCACTTAAACCCCTGCGACCCTCCATGAGCAGGACGCTGGTGCTGGAGTTGGTCCTCCTCCTCCTCTTTATACCCCTCCTTCCGTTTACTTGTGGGCACAGCTGTGTAGACTCTACCCCGTTTTCTCCTCTCCTCTGCCTCCTCTGTGTGCCAGAAATGTCTAAATAGAATCGCAGCCACGGCAATGCTAAGCTAAGTTAGCAGGGAGTTAAACAAAGTTAAGAAATAAGTTAAAAACTCTCAAAGGAACAGTTTTCGGCAGAGTTGACAAAAAGACAATACCTAACCCCTCTTCCTTCCGTATCTCCTCCAACTACACAAGACTTACCCGTGTAGCCTTTTTGTTTTTGTTTTTGTTTCATGAAAAACCAAAGGTTTGTTTTTGCCGGTGAGCTGTTCCGCTTTAAACCCCTTGAAGTTCTAGCAGTTGTGCACGCAGATACAGAAACAGGCTGAGCTGTCAATCAAAATTAATGATGACCTTTTTTCACAGGCCACACCCTCTCGTCCTGTTCCTCTTTTTGTGCCTGTTGCAGTTAGTGGAATCAGCGGTTTTCGTGAAACTACCCATGGAAGATTAAGTCAAAATGATGTGAAAAAAGTTATGGTACAGCATAGTAGTTCAAAAGAAATTGCAATCATTGCAATTGAATCATTATGGGATAATTAAAGAAAAAAAAGGCTTTCTATGCCTCATCAGGACAGCTGACTGAACCCCTTCCCCTGCACTTTAGGCTAGCTACCTAAACTGTAACTTGGATAATTTCATTCTGTGGTACTAAAATTCTTTTTAAATGAAAATTTAATAATAAACGTTTAGGTGTAAAACCCAACTTTTACCACCTTATCGTCAGTAGAGAGGGTCACAGATTTCGGGTCCATGTGCACATACAGTAAATGAAGAGAAGTGAGCCTGGAACACAATACTCTATTGTAGAAGACAGGAATTAGGAATTCTCTGATGGAGCTCCTTGGTAGAGCAACTGTTAGTGCTGCATTCAGCATCGTCTGTCCGAAGGGAAGTCATTTTAATGCAGTTTGAAGTTAGCATGCAGACATACCTATTATGCAGACATAATACAAGGTTATTTTTTATATTTTACACGTGCAATGTAAAGAAATTGTGAGTGGCCGTTCGAAGACCTGGCAAGAGCCAGCATGTAACAGGAGGCCTCGTGATTGGCACAGCCGCAGGCAATGGTCCAGGATGGACTTCAAGTTCAGTTTGAAAGAGCTCCTGTGTGCGGTAAAATGTGTCCATATGAAAAAAAAGTCTCACCTTATTCATTTGGTAATTTTTTATAGTTTACAGTTGAGGTTTATTTAGAAGCAATTTATGGTAATTATGTTGTATGCTACAACCAAAATCTTGTCCTTTTTCGCCCCCGTGAGGACATTTAGAGGCAACACATGCCTAAAGAGATCCCATTGAATTCACTGGAGGGTCAATCACACCAGGGTAACAAGCTGTTTAAACTGCTGACCTCTGGAAAACAGTTATTTATCACTGTATGATGCTTATCAAATAGAAAAGTTGGAGAGAGAACAAACATATACTAACATAGTTAGTATTTTTTAAATAAATGAACTAGTTCAAATCTATTTGTGGGAAGTTGATGGACACAAGATTTTCTTTAATGACAAGGTTTAAATGTAAAATATATTAATTATGAGAAATAACGTTCATTTTAGTCTTTTGTGTTAAGTATCCATCATCTATCACAGAAAGAGCAAAACGAAATGAAACTGCAGTGATGCTCATTTTACATAATGATTTTAAATTTAGAATACCCCCAGCCCCCAATTCTGTTTGGTTCTTTGATTAGATTTTGTTGCAGTGCTGGATGGGAAACTGGGTTCTGCAGCTACATGACTGTGTTCAACAGCTACATCTGTCAACCCCCAAGGACAGCACATGTCACATGACTGTATAGAAGCCATGTTAACTCTAAGGATGTCTCAGGGTGTGTATGTGTGCAAGAGAGATTGTGTATAAGGGGACTTTCTTTTCATGTTCACTGTCATCATCAACTATTGTTTGACAGAGAAACATTTGACAGAATTTTACTCAATTGTCTCCTAGTAAAATAACGTTTTACCCATAAGTCCTAAATGAACTCAGTCCTTGGATCAAAACACATTACAACAGGGCTATTTGTTTTAACATGTTTTATTCATTTATCAACAGGCAATTTGGCTCACAAAACCACCACCCTGATATTCTACTTCCCATGTTAATTATTGGTGATAGTTTTTTTTTTGGTGAACAGTTTCATATGACTGAAATCATAGATAAATTGTTTGATTCGTATATATATAGGCACTAACTAGAGCTGACTAGAGCTACCACAAGATGTGTCTGTATGAGGATGTATATTTTTGATTATTTCTGAAAAAACAAACCCTAGACAAATGACATAAATATATAATCTTAGAAACAATCAATCCACTTTTTTATAAGAACCATATCCCACATTTAAAAAGTAGATGTAGCCTTTTGAAGTATTTAATGAGGCAGAAGTAGTAGTTGCCCACTAGAGGGAGGTTCTGCTCCTGAAAAATTGAGAAATCGAGCTCTCGTGTAGCTTCATTAAGTTCGCAATAAGTATAATTGTTCAAATTGTGTTGTGCCCCTAAAGGTCAAGTGAGTTTATTAGTTCAATCTGCATCAGAGCGTCTTCACATCTCCAAGGTGTGTGATCTATAAGTAGCAATTTTGCTGTTTAGTTTTTTCCTAATTGTCTTAATAGAAACATTTTTGGCCTCTAATGAGTAGCCAAATAACATAAAGTCAAACATCCTTAAGAATATTCAAGCCTAGTTTCATGAATGAGAGGGGCACTGTCCTCGAAACTGTCCCTTGGATAAAAGGTAAAACAGCCACAGGAAATTGAAGTAAAAAATCTTCTGGATTTGATTTAAAGTTTATGGATGAGAGATGAAGTACAGAGATCAAGGAGAAGACTTTGATTGGATGTGGGTGTTACTGCAACTTCTGGTTACTAACAAAAGTCTCTTCATTTAGAGGTGGTATATGTTCTAGAGACCGTAGCAGTAGACCTCAGCAGCAGCTCAGATGTCTACTCCTAAACTTTGAGGATGAAACAACGTAGTGATCTAAGACTATCTTTGATATCAGGCCAAGGAGATCAAAGGGAATCCATTAAAATGGTAAATGTTTACCCTGCTGGCGTTCCTGCATTATTGATTTTTTGTTTTATCTTTATGTGTCTGAAGGTATGGCTGTACAAGTGTAGTGTAGGTTTGTCGATAACACTGTCAAATATGTTTTTAGCATTGGGTTCTAAGCCTCACAAGATTGGCTTTGGAGACATTCTAGACGACTTTAAGGGCAATATTGCTTTTTTTCTTTCTTATTGTTGAGCTCATGTTGCGCTGTTGCACATTTTAGTTTATTTTGACTAATGATTGACAAAACTGGCAATTTTCAATTGGTTTTTTAACCATTTGTTTTGTTGTTTTAATTTTGTTTGGACCATCTCCCGTTTCGGCTGGGATTTGAACCATGTGTGGTGTCTTCTACAGACTTGGACATAAGTGTTCAAAATGGTACTGCGTTTACTTGGGGAAAAAAATACACTTTGAAATGTTAAATATTGCAGAAAAGAAGCATAATTCAGCAGATGACCTTTGACCTGATGGCTACATCCATTTCTTACATATGATCTTTAGCAAACAACATTTCAATGTCAAAGTTATGGAGTGAAAGAGTAAAGCAGGTATACTTTGTAATGAAGTGATTTAACGTAATCGTTTTTTGGCACACGGAAAAGATCGTTGTCTAATATATTGAACACAGAATTCCTACATCATCCCTCCACATAGATAGGAAGAAAAGTCAAAGCCTTGTACTGTTAGTGTATGGATTCATCTTCAGCCTATTGGGATGATTTCAGTCTTGCAGCTACACGAAGCAGGACACATCTTGAACTGTTCATTTGAACAAACCTTATCCAGAGCTTTTAAAGGACAGTAGACATTGTTGTTTATATGTGGACATGGGTTGGCTGCAACAGAAAAGCGGATACAATAACGGAGCATTCAATATGCCATCTACTTTCAACTTCAGCATTTAATGCATAAAAGAAGAGTGCAACTTATTTAGTGGACAGTAGTCAGAGGGTCTACTTACTGCAAAGCCTGTCCTCACAGTCATTCGGGCAGGCTTGACATGAAGGTCCTACGGTATACGGATTCCAAAATCTAAAGTTCCCTCTGTAGAACAAAATGAAAATCCCAAAGGTGTTGTTTGCATGGGGTTACAACCAAATTATGATAAAAGTTTTTTGATGCACTAAAGTCACGTACGCTCGATAGTACTGGCAGCCATACAGAAAGACTTCCCCACAGAGTTTCACTCCACAGCCGATCTTATATGAACCTTTCCACACCATCTGAGGGCAAAAAAAATACATTTTTCTTTATTTCTACATTGTTGACCATGTAAACCAAGTGTCAAACTCAGGGCCTGTTTCCTCTCTTAACTTATCTTATGTGACCCACAAGACAACCCTACTAATTGTGTTGACCTAACTAAAAATAGGAATTGATGATATGAATGAAATGCTATCGTCAAACTCTAACCCCTAAAAATGTGCTGACTTTTTTACTTTTTTATGAAAATATGTTAATCCAAGAACAAGGACAAGAAGACTAGATTCTGAAAAAATAAAATGTATTTTAATCCTGCAGTTAAAAGTAACATACACTATATTTTGTAATAAATAACTATGATACAAAAAACAGTTATTTATTTAAACCTTATGCAGTAGTTAAAGGGGTCCTCAATGATATGATTTTATCATGATTGTTTAGAAACAAAATGAGCTCCAAACAAATATGACCAAACATAATTGATAATAATTCATGAATCGATGAAAATTTGGTTCATGATGCATCATTACATCCCTATAAAGCAGTACTTCTATAAGAGTAAGAGTACTGGGGGGCCATGGTGAGGGGCTTCCAATGGAATATGGCACGCTGGACATTAGTGTACCACTGCTGCCATCCTTGAATGTTAACACGCCCCCAGTCACTAGTTGGCAGCAACTCATACAGTGGTTTGTACAGATTGAAATATACATGTGATGAGGTTCTCAATAGTATTTTAGTTCGCAGGGGGGCGGGGAGTGCGGGGGTGAAATATGAGAACCACTGCTATAAAGCATGATTTAAAAAATGCAACAGTTGGGTCATATTTCCCCTGTGTGAATAGTTGATCAAATATCAGTGTGGTTGGGTCTATGAAGGTATTTTTAAGAGATTTCACAGCAAACGGAGTTAAGGCGTAACAGCAAACATTCTCAACAATCCCCTGTGTAGTACAAGAATCGAACCAGTAGGTGCAGGTGTACAGCAGGTGAAGGGATCACTGAAGACTATGTACCAGTGTACTTGGTGGGACAGTATTTACCTCTAGCCCAACTGTGTCAACATGTCTTTTTGGGAAGTGTCAAAGGGAAGTATAACACGGACTTTAAATGAAAGACTGATCCAGTGGCGTTGAGTCTCGCTGGTAATAGGTCTCATTTCAAGTCACTTTTAAAAATTTGGGTTAAGTTTAACTCAAATTCAAAGTCAAAGGCTGGAAGAGAAAGTTTTACGGTAAATCTGTGTATCTAGTCTGAGAGAAGTATTCTTTTTTAACCAAACCCAACATCACAAATGTTGTGACACGTTTCGGCAGCTTTCCACTTCAGTTTTGTTCTTCTACATCCATCCACTAACACGTGCATCACCTGTACGTACGTCACCTTTTCGGTGCTGTGCTGATGTCATGTTAAAGATGTGTCAACAGTACAGGACGCGAGGGTATCTGAGGAAGACTGTTACCTGCGTGTAGTGACCAGTAGGTTGGCCATTGATCGATCCAATGGGGAACTTGTAGTGTTCCACCTCACTGTGCCAGGCTTTGATGACGTCAGTCCAGCTGAGATAATAGGACGAGTAGAAGAGATTCTCTCCCATTTGATATCCTGTTTATAGGGGAGAGCCACACGGGGCCAAGATTATTCAACGTAATGATCTTGATTTGTAATTAATTCACCAACCTTGTTTCATTTGCTTATAAAATATAAAGACTGGAGGTAAAATCATGGTCAATTATAAAATATAAAGACTGGAGGTAAAAACATGGTCAAGTTTTTGTTTTTGTCAAATTTTTATTTATACAAAAAAGGTTTGAAATCTTTATAATGTATTTTAAATTTAGAGTCTTTAAAAAAGGACAGGGTAGTAATACAATATACATGCACTGGACTATAAATCCTAGCATATTTAGACCCGCAACGTCAAACACAAGTACCTCTTAATCTAAAAAAAACCCAGGAGATATACAAACTTTATTTTCTAGACAAGAGGTCGTAAATCCTGGTTGTTGGGGCACTACACTACTACAAGGTCAGTACAAGGTAACTAAGCTAGGATTATATTATATAATTTACAAATGAGAGAAAAGGCACTGTAGTCCTTGTATTATATTAAAAACTACACAGATATGACCCTCCAGTGGAATGAGTATGTTTGGAGTTTGACACTACCTTAGTGTCACCACTGCCTTAGAAACATAAAAACTCCACATAAAAGGTTGTGCTGCACGTGGAGCATTAATGACTTCACGTTTTTTTCATATTGTTAAAAAAACACGATTTATCGACTCCTCGTCGACTTGTGCCGCTCATATTGTGCCATTGACCAATTCTTTTATTTTTATATTTTTGCTAAATGCCCTACCTGTGTGTGTCAGCTTCAGTCAGCTTCTAACTCTATTTACAGGTACCACATACACATAAGCATTGTAAATTCCAATGATTGATATACAATGCAGCATCTTCTGCAGGAATCTAATGAATCTACAGGGTGATTTCTGGTGACCATGCCACAATGGATTAGGCCTTGGACAAACCCTTCTAAATATTCATAAAATCCTCTCCCTATATTATATAGAATCTTTTCCAATCACATTTTTTTTAAAATTCCCCAATCTTTGTAAGGTAATTATTCCTACCCCTTCACATTTGGTATCATTCAAAAGCCCTAAATATTCTTTCTGTATAGCAAATTTGAACTACTTGTAGTCAGGAGGATAAGAGGTTGAATATTATAAACATGATGAGAGGAGGCATCAGGGAAATGAGGAGAGAATAGTACCGTTGATCATGCGGGACATGACAGGTCCGTGTTTTAGCAAGCAACGGTTCACCCAGCTCTGAGCGCTGTGGCCAACCTCTTTACTGTAGCTCTGTAAAGAGGAACAATTATTCATTAATGTCATGTAAAATAAAGCATTTACCGGTAATCACAAACCAACATCCACTGTAAAAAAAAAAAAAAGGTAATACTATATCTGCAACATAAAATTTTAATATATTTACACTAGATTGTGTTACATGCTGTCTCTTACCACGGAGTGAGATTTTGAGCATTAAAAAATCAATGAATCACAAATAATACCATTCACTTGATGTTAGTAGTGTAATGTTTTCCTTTTTAGGCTACCATTTCTTAATTGAGCATATGATAATCACATTGACCAATCATATATATTGCCTTTTTCTTTTTTCTATATTTATTCTGATTATTACTGTAGTAAACCTTTTAAATCAGCATCATTTTCCATTAAACTCTTACCATCTTCAGCATATCAGCTGCTGTTGGCTGAACGTTCCTCCTGAAGTCATTGTGTTGGTCCACAATCTCTTTCTGCACGTCTAGATTCAGTGTGCAAAGTCCTAGCAAGCGTACACAGACACACCCGGATAAGCATCCACACACACAGACACAGACACTCACATGGATCGGGGGTAGATTAAATATATAATAAAAACTGATATTTGCTCTGTTGGCATCTAACAACTGCCATATGATCCACTAACATCAAACGTATCCTGGTTTAATGACTGTAAAGTGACTTTACACAACAGGAGCACAAATCTCTTAATCTTATTTGCTTGGGAAGTTATTGGCATGGCAGTACAATCCAATGTATAATCCCAGGGGAGATTATAACACGTCGGAAGGTTTTTAACTGTGTGCTTACCTTCAGGCTGTGGACACAGCAAGGCGCAGCGCGAAGCAAGGTTCATGTAGAAATGACAAGAGTTAGCAGGACAGTTGTTAAGAAATATTGGAAAGTAATAGGTTGAAATACTTTCACTTCTGTCAAATATTATAGAAACAAGAGAAAGATATGACACTGTGTAAAAGTGACAGGCAGCCGTTGATTTCATCTTCAATGTTAGATGGTAAAATTGGAACGAAGACTTGTAAAATACATAATCAGGGCTTGAGAAATCCAAATTTCATACGTAGAGTAGAGTTTGGACTAGAATTCAAACAGTGGGGGGGTTACCAACAGAAAGAGAGAAGAACTCTGGGGATAACACGTCACACGTCTTGTTAGTGATGGGAGTAGCAATTCCATGGTACGGATATAGCAATACTCGGACGAGTATGTATTATCAAATACTCTCATAAAGTATCAATACTAACGAGTAAATGTCACGTCCACATCTTCTACTCTAACTTACTACATATAGACTCTTGTGCTGCAACACCCCCTAGTAATGAACAATTAAACTGATCCATTCATGTCACATGACCACTGACCAAAGAGACTCCATGTGATCAGGTCCACTAGTCATCTTTGTCCCTTAATGGTAGCAATTAACTATATAGATTACACTGTACACGTCAAGTCATGTAATTTGTTATGACCGATATGTTAAACACAAATTATGAATATTAGCATTGGCAGAATATTGCTTAAAATTGAATTGGTATCCCATAGCTTCGGTTAGCACGTCTGCCTCAGAAGCAGAGAGCAGAGAGTTGGGTTCCATTTCCAGAGGAAAATCAAAAGTTCTGGTTTTGCCCGTCACTACCTTCTGCATATTTGGTCTTTATTCAAATTGTTGGGGTTTTTTTTATCTAAAATTAACATTAAAAAAGCAAATAGGTTTAACATACTTTAACAGCAGGTCAGTTATTCTGAGTGTCACTCGATGCGTTTCCTGTTATTACTAAGTGAGAACACATACAGTATCATCATAGGAAAGATCTGTGAGACGTCCTGTCAACAATGTCATCTGAAACTGATATTTTACTCACATTGCAAATATGTGAAAAACAAACAAACACAAAAACATGTTTTCACTTAAAATTTGACAAGCACATTGAATAGAAAAATACTCACCACGTTACAGGAGGATTCAACACGTTGAAGTGTCAACATGCAGACCACGAGTGCCAACATTCTCCTGTTGCAAAAGAAAAAAAAATTTAAAACAAGGAAAAAATCACTCTACATTTGCTATTACATTAAAATGTAACACTAACATTTATATATACTCTACATACACCAAAGTATATAGCTTAATAAACATTGCATAGCCTTATTTACACTTTATTTATATATATTTTATGTGGTAACTTCAATATATACCATTTATACTTTTACTATACTAGTTTTTTATATACTAGTTTAATATTTACTCTATCATTTTGACCACACAGTTTCATTTTATATACAGTATATTATGTGGTCCTATCTATGGCGTAATATATACTATATTGTTTTGTATGTACTGTATATATGTACACATATATTGTATATATATATATATATACAGCTTTTTATACAGTTCCTAACTCAGTTACTTACATCCAGCTCTCTTTTGTACATATTGTACGATTGACTTTTTTATCAACATTTTAAATCTAATTTTTCAATTTTGACCCCAGTGTTATATTTCAGTGTAAATTTTAATCTGTTTTGCTAAAACGAAATAAAGAATATTAAATAGGTATGAAACTGTACGACGTACCTGCCGTTTGTCCTGTCGAGGTGGAAAGCTCAGTTGGCGGATACTTTCTCACGCTTTATATAGTGACATTAGAGACTTGACAGCGTCATCAAGGATGCAACACTGCCCCCTCTGGCTGCTACTTATACAGCAGAATCCAGGATCAGTACCTGGATCAGCAGGATGAAATTTGGACTTCCACATGGTTGATTGAACTATGTCCAAGGCCTGAGGAAAAAAACCCCAGCAAAACTAAATAATAGCTTAAAATAAATTAATCATTTAACCAGTGTTTCTGCTCATGTTATGAATGAATTGCAATTAAAAATAATGGTAAGATCTGTCCTATAAAATGTACTGTAGAATAAGTTATGTCCTTTGACGTTGTTAATGTGTCACTAGTAATGTATAGTGGTCTGCTTATAATTTGGTCCTTTTTTCTCTTTTAGTTTCCCTTTTATGTTAATGGTCTGGTTTTTTGTGGAAATGCTCATCATGATAAATGAAAATGTGCGCTGCTAACTTGAATAATGAGCAGGTGATTAGGAGAGGGTCTGTATCAACCACTAAATATTAAATAAATAAAATATATGGTGTAGTATACAGTATATAAAACTTTTTGAAGACTTTGGAAGACTGATGCTTTCTTACGTGGATAGTCCAAATTCAATATGTTTTCAGATACCTGGCTAAAAGGTTATACATTTAATCACCCCTTAAATATTTGAAACATGGATTTGCCATCATAAGTTTGTAATATGTTCTACAAATTTGGAGTGATCGTGCTGTTTATTCTACATCTTTAACACCTGTTTCTGTCTTCTTGGAATTTGATTGGTGTTTTCCTAAAATCTTAGAGATCAAAGAACCCAAAATAGAACCCGACCACATGGCACCAGTTTTGAGGTGTTGGCTGCTTCATTCTCTAATCCTTGAACATCTGTAAACACACAGCGGTGTCACAGTTGTTGTGAGCAAACGTTCGTTTTTTTACAGTCTACCATTTAGCATTAAACATATGAGTCACTTCAAAAGACTACGACTAGCTACTTGTTCTCTTGCCCTCTTTTTCTCTGGCACTCTGGGTCTCTTTCTGTGTGCGTAAGTTTGTGCATGCATGCCTAAATGTTCTAAGAGATGTTTAATGATCATTAAGTGATCATTAAATGTCGGCACATTTGGGATGGTTAATAAAAAACACAAATAAAACATAGAGACTGCAAAGTTTGATGTGATCCTTTGGAAAACAATCTGAGAACAGAGCGGCCAGAGAAGAGAGCTGACTACGTGAGAATGACTGTACTGTGGATTGTCCTCTGACCTGAGGATGGCAATGCATTGTGGGACAGAGTAGACCTCAAGTGATTATTCCTGCACCACCAATTTTCCAAAAGTTTTGTCTTTTTTTGTGATTGTGACTTGTAAGTTTTTTTTTAATTATTTAAAACCAAAGGGAGTCACTTTGAGGGCCGGATGTACAATAAAATCACATTGCTGTCTAACATTATTATTTGATGTTAATTTTGGAATCCAGTTGTGGGCTGGATTGGACAGTTTGTGGGCCACCATTTGATAATAACTGGCTTATTTGTTGCCCAAATGAGCTTAGTTACATTTATGCTTCCTCTGGCTATGGGTGTTTTTAACCTTTTTTCTTTTTTTTTCTTTTTTTTTTTGCAATGCTGCTTTTTCTTATGGAATTCTTGTTTTTTAATACAGAGGAAATGTAGGTACTCACTAAGGTCTAGTGCTTGAAGCCTCATGTATTATACTCTTACATCATTTTTAGTAGCTGTCACTTCTGCTTCCTGCATAGAGTTCTACCTAATGCTGTTTTTCTATTCTGATTATTCCCAACAGGAATAGTTTACAGTGAAAGTAAAGTGTCGCAGTTATGAATCCGGTTTAGTTTTGGGTGGATTCAATTTTCCTAATTTAAAAAGTTAGGTCAGTGGGTGGAATCTGACAGTACACCAGATCTCAGATTTAAACTTCTACACTTTTCTGGTAGAAATATCTCAAGAAGTAAATCGTGTCTCATCGTTTATCATTTACTTTAACTCACTTTAACTTACTTTAACATGAAAAGCGTGTATAGACCAAAACTCTTTTTGGTAATTATAGTAACCATGGAAAGGATGTAACTGTAGATGTTTAAAACCAGAGATACTGCTACATCAGCTGGATATTCTCAATATATTAAGAATATACAGAATTACGGCAAATTGCTCATTTGTGATTGCTGTTTCAACTGTAGATGTTTAAAACCAGAGATACAGCTGATGTAGCAGGCAGAGATATTTGATTAAACTCTTTTTAAAGAAACGATAAAGCTATTTTTCTAAAAACTGCATTATTCATTTAAAATGAGCTTTGTAGAACACGTACAAATGAATAGTTGGTTTAGGTTGTTCATCATTAAATCCAGTACAAACGGCTCATTTGTCGCATGTTTGTTTTTCCGTGTCACAGGTAGGAAATGTTCAAGGTAATGATGGATATTGTGGGTGTAACCCTTTATGTACACATGGCGTTGTATAAATTCTCATATGCCTTTCGAATTTTCCCATGAGAAAAGAACCAATGCATGTATGTAAAGGAACTGTGGGCATGAGAGGATAGTGTCGTGAGAGCAGCTGCAGGAAAACATCCAGGACAGGAAACTATCAGCTCAAGGTGCAGTGTGACTTCAGAGAATTATGGGGGGTGCGGGGTTGGGGTGTGTGTGTGTGTGTGTGTCAGAGTTATATTAAAATTGTTTTTATCTCAGTCTGGTTTTCATTTATTCCCCCTTAGACCTGATTCTGAACTTTACAAAATGCTAGTTCTCATTTGCATGTACTGGAGTCAGGTAACTGTTATCTGATTAGAACAGCCTCCAGTGCTGGTGGTCTTCAATTTCTCCATTTTTACTTCGTTTATTATTTTGCTTTGGATAAAGAAAATGTGTTGTATATTAGCATGTGAAAATCCCCTCTGTTGTTTTGTGTTTGTTCTGTTTTCAAACTTTGATTTTGATATAGATGCAAAAAATGAAATTAGTTGATTTTATGTTGTGGAATCAGAGCTAAGAAATCCTGCGTGGGTTTCCTTCTTTTATTTATTGTTTTATTGTGCAGGAAGAGTGTACATTAAAATAACGACATGCAGTAAACCGTTCCATTAGAGACGCTGTAAAAGTGAGTCAATTCTTCATAGTCAACGCCAGGGGGGAGTGTCCCACTTCTATTGATACAGGGGAAGAGTTCACTCTATTAGTTGTTATCGGGACAAAAATAAAAATGCAGCTAATGACTGAAGAGTGTCATTAATAAGAGACATGATGAAGAGGCTCATTTAGACCTACGACTCAACGATGTGTTTACACTCCATTCTCGCTCTTGTCCAATCAGCTGTCCTGTCTTATCCCTTATTTATCCATGCAACCGGTTCTGTAAACACGAAGTAAAGACGAAGAAAAATCAATTGTTTTTTTGTCTTCTTTCAGACACGGAACATGGTTGAACACAGGTGCAACTCATTGGACAAGGGCCCTAAAGAAGCAAACAGGACAAAGACAGGAAGTAAATCTCGGCTGGAGAAGGGAAAACAAGACAGAAGAAAATGTTTTCCGAGTAAAGCAAATTCATTAATTGTGATAAATCACTCCAAATGTGTGCAGGAAAACACGAGAGAGTCCCACATAAACAACAAACATGTAACCACAGCTAAAAAGGTAAGCAGACACTCAACTATTTCAGACTAAGGCAAAGACGGTTTGATAAAGTATAACAGACATTTAAAACTACCTGTAATCAAACCCCCCAACCCCCAAAAATGTCTAACAAACACAAGATGTACAGAACAAATCTTTTCAAAAAGAAAACTCCTAGAAACCCACTTTTGATCAAGTCAATCAAAAAGGCCTCTTCTTTATCCGTAATAGCTGCAGTGACTTTTACACCTAGCCTTGACGATACTTAGATTTATGTATCAGATCAATTTCCGACTGTCCTTGCTGTATCAAAGCTCTGGTGGCCATTGTTGAAAGGCGAGATCTGGTACATACCATCTACAAGTCCATAAGCCGTACCTTTGTGATTTGTGCAGATTGACACGATCTATTGTTTGACAAATGGATATCAGATGATAAGACATTATCTTGACAGACATGCGTGCAGTCCATATGCCCTGCAGTCATACTGTCACAACACTGATACTGATTGATTTAGTTGGCCTTTGTCATCGGTGTGTCATCTGTCCATTTATCCCTGGAGAAATCTTTGTGGTGTTTCTGCTCATAATTGACTGCTTAGTATTAGTTCATACAGCAACACATTTCTGTTACTCTGTGTCTCACTGTACTGCAGTGTTTTTTAACATTAGGGTCACAACCCCAATGTGGGGTCGCCGGATGTCTAGTAATTGATTAAATTATTTTTTTTTTAAGTAATCATGTTGAAACAACTAATTATGATTAAAAACACCACACACAACTGTACTGTCCTTCACTTTCATGAATATAAATTGAGTTCAAATTCAAATTTGTGATGTCAAAATGGAGTCACAACCCCAAAAAAGTTTGGGAACCATTAATCAATTATTATGCTAGATTTAGTCATTTGAATCCTTTTCTTTCCTTTTCTACGTGAAGATGGATCTGCTCAGAAAAGAAGTCTTCCAAAGACACTGCGTACAGTTCCAATTCGTGCTTTTCAGGAAGAGTGATCAGATAAAAGTATTCTCCTGAAGTGACATTAAACAGAGGTAGGAACTCTCTGTCTTTGAATGAGTCGTATCATTAATTTGCAGCCTGGAGTGAGATTGTCACATATGAGCAACACAATGAGGGCTCCTCTTTAAAAGGCAGCCAGGACGGTGTGAGTGTATTCTCGATTAGAGTTTTTAGAAAATGACATTGAATGAACAAGAGCTCTATGTCGTGACGATATTGTGCACGACAAGTTTGTCTAACCCACACATTTGGGGCATATTTCAGCAGAACCTATTGTACAAAAAAATTCAATATGGCATAATACTTCCCCCCAATATATTAC